TGGGCCCCATAGTATTCTGATCAACTACCAATAATTGACGTTTTGCGTCTCTCTCTCTCTCTCTCTCTCTCTCTCTCTCCTCCCCCCCCCCTCTGTGTGTGTGTGTGTGTGTGTTAAATTTTCCCCACAACAGCCCCATTCCACCCAGATGAATAGATTCATAATCAAAGCAGTTTTGTTCTACTGCAGACAACGAGAGCACTTAAGATGAGACAGTCCAACGTTTATAAGCAATTTTACAATTAGACAATTTTTGGTTATCCTTGGGGTACCCCTTCCATTTCTGCAACTGCACTATTACTGTGCCTCTTACGTACAAGGCTGCCCACGTTGATTGTGGTTGAGCGGCAGCTGCCCACATTCCCGTGTGCCTTAACGGCCCACTTGCACGTTATGAAAGGACACAGGGTAAAGGGGAAGGTATACTCCTTTTCAATGCATATCTTCAACTCATACTTTGTTTGTTCTCATTCATATGTTGTTTTGGTAATGCCACATAAGGGGAGGGTAAAGGAACGTGTAATCAGACTTCTCTCAATCTCGCTTACAACATGCATATATGTATGTGCCGATGGCAAACCAACTTCGTCAAGTTAGAATCAGCAATGAACTTGCACTAGTGACATGCGGCCACACAGAAAACTCGAAGACATGGCCTCTGACTAGAAACTCAGCTCAAGTCAATTGTTACAACTTGCGGCTATGGCCGCCGGACATTGTCTGACGTCCCAACCGAACATTGTCTACACCATCAGTCGCACTCTCCCTCACGTACACACTCACGAAGATCCCCCTGAATGTCCACGCACTACACACATGCACAATGTACACTCTATTGAGCAGCTTGGCGGCTATAGTCGTCGTCGTCTTCCTCAGCCCACTTCAACTTCGGGCACCTGCAGACCTCCACTGCACAAGTCGCTCCAGCAGCGCTTCCACATGGCTCACAGGCAAATGAATGAATGGCTGGGCGTTGGCACTTTATTTTTATTGTTTTGTGGGTCGACCTGGCCTTCTGAGCCCCTGGTCCAAGGCCCCAAACCGCATGGGCCAGGGAGGCCCAAACCGCGTGGGCTTTTGAGCCCGAAACCGTGTGGAACCCCCCACCTGGTACTTGCTGACTGGATGAGGTGGACTGTTCACCTTGCTGACTCAAACACGGTCAACTGGCCTACAACTCTCTAGAATCTACTAACTGACTTTACTACTGACCCTTAAACTAACGAAGAGCAAGGTAGAGACTTGCAGAAGGGCCCTAACTAAGACTCACGGTAACGTACTAAACTCCTAGTACGAAAGTCTACGGAACAAGACCTAACAACTGACTAACACGTAAACTAACCACCCTACGGGATTTAGGGACAGGTCGTAGGTTCAAATCTCACTTAGGGTCACAGGGTCAATGTACAGGGTTAAGGGGTACGTTTTATGGATAGAGTCTCAAGGTCTGCATCTTTCGAGTTACCTGAGTGAAACCGTGTCAAACGGGTTAAGGAGTGGGATTATGTAGGGAGTAGGGGCAGGGGAGGGAGAAAGGGTAGGGGTAGAAGCAAAGTGACAAGGAGAGGATAGAGATGTGATGAACTTCATAGTGATTCTCACACTCATCGCCGGAGCAGACTACTCTACAATGGCACTTGAGGCCAGTCAGTGTCTGGGTTTAATAAGATTTTGAGTTGAGGAGCAGTCGTTGCCTATGGTAAGTTGCAACCCCTAAAGACCAGACAAGGCCGGTTCGGGCGTGGACAGAGGAAACACCGCATCCAATTCTCGCAGTCACAATTGCTGCATCGAATGGCTCGGCGTAGATAGATGCCACGGGCCACGTGGCTCCCACACACTAGGAACACGGAGGCACACCGACCACAATTGTAAAGACATTGTCGTTCCAGCCCCTGTCTGCATTTTGGACACCACATGTCAGGGTGCCGTACATGACTGCAGTGCTGACTATCATCATAGGTATGAAAACCGAAACTCGCATGGGCTATCCCTTCATAGTCCTCACTGCACAAGGCATGTGAACCACGTGCCAACAGGATCTCAGACGGGTCATCACAAAGAGGCATTCAGCAGGTCTGATGGGTTTCCATAGTATTTATTCCCTCTCTACGGGCAGACGACGATGGGGATTGCTCCAAGGCAAGGATGCTTAGCTGCTGCAGAATATGATCTGCAACAGCTCGTCCCAGTGGAGATATACTTTCAGTACACCGCTCCGTAGGTGGTTCATATGGTAGTCTATTACCCACCTCAGGCTGCTGCGTCAGTCGTTTGTCTGGCATCCACCCAACGTTGCATGCGGGACATGCTAGAAGAGGATACAATAGACGATGGCATTGGGAAGACACATACTTTCTATGACAGCTTCCTGGAAACATAGCATGTTGCTGACATGTCAGCAGGAAAGCAGGCTGGCGTTCACAGATATTTAGACATGGCATGTCAAGGCCATGACGACATGCTGGCCAAACAATTAGGGGGTGGGAAGAGTACAAGATGAAGGATCGCAGTTTTTGCGGCAGAGGTTGGCAGTGACCGTATAGGTGCGGACCAGAACAAGAACCGACCTTTCCATACAAGGTATAAGATAGCACAGCGGAAGACTTAGATACCAGTGATCCGAACAATCAATGTTGTAATGCAGCCCTGAACATACATCATCATCATCGTTTCATAGTGTGAATGGGTCTGGCGCTTCA